AGGGCCACCGGCGTCGGGGCCACCAGCCAGTAGAGAGTCGCGTTCCGTGCCCAGCTTCCGTGGTCAGACTCAGGGCCTCCGCAAGCTGACGGACCAAGAGCGTGTCCAACTGCGAGCAATGGGACACTGCTTTGCTTGCAGGAAGCCAGGCCACCTCGCTAAAGACTGTACTGAGGGTGGACAGCGCTACCCAAACGCTGGTCGCCAGTAAGAAAGGGGGTGCGCTTACTGGCGACGACCCAAGCACCCACGCCGGTACCAGTCGCTAACCGGTTCGGAGCTCTGGAGGTTGAAGACGTTGCTCTCCAGGAACCTACGGAGCCGGAGACACCCATAGCTGTAGGAAATTGTCCCGTTGCAGAAAGGTGTCATGTCAGCAACGTCAGCGTCGGCAATGAACCTGAACACGACCTACTGCGCATACAGGGAAAGATCGGCGGTCGCCGTGCAGTGATGCTGATAGATTCCGGTTCGACGCATGACTTCATTGCAGACAGTTTTGTTCGAAAGCATCATCTTGACACGGATGCAAGCTCAGCAGTGCTGAGCGTAACATTGGCGGACGGCTCGACCAGCGAGGTCCCGCAGATTTCCACACGCACGCTAAGGGTGACAGTCGGGGGCTTCAGTGAGGAACAGCACTTTACTGTGTACCCCCTGACTCGCTACGACGCTATTCTTGGCAAGCCGTGGCTTACAAGGAACAACCCCAGCATCAACTTCCGTACGAACGAAGTTCAGTTGGACGGTGAGCCCTTTGTTGCCAAATTGCCTTCAGCTAACCCGCCGACAGCCGACCGGCCATCTGTGGAAAGCATGTTTATCAGTGGCCGACAAGCTCGTCATGCCCTGAGGAGTGGAGCTGAGGGGTTTCTTGCATGGGTCACTGCTGCAAACGAGGAGAATCGTTCCGGGCCACAACTCCAGGAATCAGAGCAACAAGACATCCAGAACCTGCTCAAGAGGTACCAGGATTTATTTCCAGACGAGCTGCCGAATGAGCTTCCACCGAAGAGACCAGTCGACCATGAAATCCAGATAGAAGATGGAGCCAGACCACCGTCTCGACCCGCCTACCGCCTGCCGAAACCAGAGATGGACGAGCTCCAGTCACAGCTGTCAGAATTACTTGAGAAGGGATTCATTGAGCCAAGTAAGTCGCCATACGGTGCACCTGTGTTTTTTGTGAAAAAGTCGGATGGTACTCTGAGAATGGTGTGCGATTGGCGAGAATTGAATAGAATTACGATCAAAAACAAAGCTTGTCTTCCTAATATTGATGACTTATTCGACACGATCCAGGGCAGTGCATATTTCTCCAAGTTGGACTTGCGGTCGGGGTACAATCAAATCAGAATTCAAGACTCGGATGTTTCTAAGACGGCCATTAATACGCCGTTCGGCCACTTCCAATTTAGAGTCATGGGATTCGGGCTGACTAATGCCCCGGCCACCTTTCAGTCACTCATGAACTCTATTCTGCAACCGCATCTCCGAAAATTCGTTGTAGTATTCTTGGATGACATTCTAGTTTTCAGCAAGACCTGGGAAGATCATCAGCATCATCTTCAAACAGTTCTAGAAACACTTAGAAATAGTGAGCTGTATTGCAAACAGTCTAAATGCGAATTCGGCGTGAGAGAAGTTCTCTTCTTGGGGCATAAAATCAACGGCACATCAATTTCCCCTGATCCCAAGAAGATAAGTGCTGTGGAAACATGGCCAACTCCGTCGTCAGTAACTGATGTGAGGAAGTTTCTTGGCTTTGCAAACTATTTCCGAAGGTTCATAGATCGACACTCGACCATCTCTCGTCCATTAGAAGAAATCACCGGAAAAAATTCACGCTTTGAATGGAGCGCTGCTAGACAGAAGGCATTCGAGTCTCTAAAATCAGCATTACTCGAGGCGCCAGTGTTGCAACTGGCCGATGTTGAGAAAAGCTTCACGGTAGAAACTGACGCAAGTGACTTTGCCGTGGCGGGTGTGCTCCTGCAGCAGGGAGAAGATATGGATTTGCATCCCGTAGCCTATTGCAGTCGGAAACTGTCAGCTGCAGAACGCAACTATACTGCGGCCGAGAGGGAAACGTTGGCTGTGGTATTTGCATTAAAGTGCTGGAGAATCTATCTATTCCGCCACTTTGACCTGATGACTGATAATATGGGTGTTGTCTATTTACGAACCAAACCGACTCTCACCAAGCGTGAGGCAAGATGGGTAGAGTTTTTAGCTGACTATGACTTTACGGTCTTTCACAAACCAGGAAAGAAAAACATTGCCGACCCGCTTTCACGCCGTCCAGATCTGTTCAGTGATTCTGAAATAGGCGGGTCATCCTATCCTCCTAACATTCAGTTGAATGCCATAGAGCATACCCTAGAGATTAATCCAGACTTAGCGCAGTTAATTGTCAGCGGTTACAAGTGCGACAAGGATCTTGCTCCCATTATCAGGAGACTGAAAAATTCAAGCCATGACAATCTGCACGACCGTTACCTTCTAAATGAAACACCCGGTTATCTTTATCTCAGATCTTCACCACAGAACAGGTTATGCATTCCAAAGAGTAGCAAACTCCGACTCGCCCTGCTTCAAGAATACCATGACTGTGTGACTGCGGGGCATCCCGGTCGAGATCGCACCTACTTCAGACTCGCTAGATATTTCTATTGGCCCAGAATGGGACTGGATGTAAAGGCGTTTGTCAAGTCATGTGACGTCTGCCAACGAGTTAAAGGTGGCCAGCTAAAAACTGGTCTCTTGCAGAATTTACCAGTGCCCAGTCAGCCGTGGGCGGATATCTCGATGGATTTTATCATGGGTTTGCCTAGGACCGACACAGGTCATGATGCTATATATGTATTTGTAGACCGCTTGACAAAGTGTGTACATTTAGCACCTACTTCCTCTACTATTGACGCTAAAGGAAGTGCTGATCTGTATATTCAACATGTATTTCGACTTCATGGTTTGAGTTCTAGTATTGTATGTGATCGTGATCCAAGATTTACGGCAGCATTTTTTCAGGAATTGTTTGATCGCTTAGGAACGAAACTAGCATTTAGTACTGCCAATCACCCTCAGACAGATGGCCTAACTGAACGAGTAAACAGAATAGTAGAGGATGTGCTGAGGGCTTTTGTAAATCATAAACAAGATAACTGGGATATGCTCCTACCTCTCTGTGAGTTTTCTATCAACAGCGCTACTCAATCATCTACAGGAAACACACCGTTCTTCTTAAATTACGGTCTAAATCCCAGAGCACCACCCGACTTCCTCAACCCTATTCAGGGAGGCAGAGATTCAGCTGATTGGTTGCAAGCAAGACAAGACGCGGTCAAGATCTCACAAGATGCGCTAGTGGCAGCTCAAGCTCGTCAGGCCTTCTATGCAGATCGGACAAGGGTCGAGGGAAAGCTGAAGGTGGGAGATTTGGTAATGGTCTACCGGGATTTCCTCCTGACTCCTGAAGCTCGGGACCGACCATCCCATAAATTACGCCCCAAGTGGTTTGGCCCCTTTCCTATAACCCATGTGGTCGGCCCGAATGCCTACAAGCTCAAGTTGCCTCATACCAGCCGCTGTCACCCGGTATTTAATGTGTCGGCACTCCGTGCCTACGAGAAGAACGCTATTCCTAATAGGAGACAGCCTACGCCTCCGCCTATCACGGACCTTGATGGTCATGCCCGCTATGTGGTGGAGAACATTCTCAGTCACCGCCGCCGGCAGAATCAGCTTCAGTACCTAGTCAAGTGGCAAGGCTACTCTGATGCCACTTGGGAGCCTGAACATTATTTGTTGGATGAATCTGGTAATGACATTGTTCCACTTCAGAAGTACAAAACCTTGGCTTCTGCCCGCTGAGTTTTGCAGTTGAACTTCTAGTTTCACCTTACACATTTGTTGAGCTTATTACACTTTATTTGCATGGAGTTTCAGTCGTCTTATTGTGTTACTTCAGTGCGAAGCCTTTTTCGTCTCGCACGTGTTTGCGCTTATTGTACTCTATTCCACTTGAGCATTTGGGTTATAAGCTCCTTCCTCTCCATAGGAGGGGGATGATGTAACAGTTTTCCCCTGTTCTCTATAACTTTACACTCCCTCGCACCTCATGCGTCTTACGCCTGTCTATTAGCACCTTCATTGGCGCCATTGCCACATGTATACTATCACATTTTGCATATAACTGGTCGAGGCGCGCTCAACCAGGCCTCTTACTTTTCAAGTTTGATTAAACCTGTTACACTCAATGCCTGTATCTGGCCGTCGATCCCGGCCCGAGCTGGCGGCCTGGTCGTCCTTTGACAACTCCCCCGGCGCAGCTCCTCCCGAAACCGAATACTCTTCAGCCATCGCAGGCGTGCCGTCGGACTGCTCCGACAAACCTGACTTCTCCATCTAATCGCTCAAAACTATCTCTTAAAACCATCCGAACTGCTACCAATTTGGTTACAAGACCAAGAGAGCGATTTGGGAGACAACTGAATCTTCTGTTTCTTCAACCTGATGGAACGATATCAAAAACGTAACAAAACAAAGAAAAAGCCCTGAAGAAAAGTACGGCAGCACCAAAACACAACAGAACCAAACCTACTCCGTGCGGTGCCCAAACGCGGCACATACACGTGCCAAAAGCAGCATCTGGCGGGAAAACAAGCACTCACACGTGCCAAACAGCGGGATCTGGCGGGAACATGAATCATTGGATATGCATAATACTAAGCAGTTGGTCATCCACAGCACTACTATCTACATGCATACTGGATCTTGTGAACACTCTCTCTTTCTCTCTCTCTCTCTCTCTCTCTCTCTCTCTCTCTCTCTCTCTCTCTCTCTCTCTCTCTCTCTCTCTCTCTCTCTCTCTCTCTCTCTCTCTCTCTCTCTCTCTCTCTCTCTCTCTCTCTCTCTCTCTCTCTCTCTCTCTCTCTCTCTCTCTCTCTCTCTCTCTCTCTCTCTCTCTCTGTGTGTGTTTGTACGTTGGTTGATAACAG